AGCATCTCTATATAGAGTTTAGCATCTCTATAGAGTTTAGCATCTCTCTATAGAGTTTAGCATCTCTATATAGAGTTTAGCATCTCTATATAGAGTTTAGCATCTCTATATAGAGTTTAGCATCTCTATAGAGAGTTTAGCATCTCTATATAGAGTTTAGCATCTCTATAGAGTTTAGCATCTATATAGAGTTTAGCATCTATATAGAGTTTAGCATCTCTCTATAGAGTTTAGCATCTCTATAGAGTTTAGCATCTCTATATAGAGTTTAGCATCTATATAGAGTTTAGCATCTCTCTATAGAGTTTAGCATCTCTATAGAGAGTTTAGCATCTATATAGAGTTTAGCATCTATATAGAGTTTAGCATCTATATAGAGTTTAGCATCTCTATATAGAGTTTAGCATCTCTATAGAGTTTAGCATCTCTATATAGAGTTTAGCATCTCTATAGAGTTTAGCATCTCTCTAGAGTTTAGCATCTATATAGAGTTTAGCATCTATATAGAGTTTAGCATCTCTATATAGAGTTTAGCATCTCTATAGAGTTTAGCATCTCTATAGAGTTTAGCATCTCTCTATAGAGAGTTTAGCATCTCTATAGAGTTTAGCATCTCTATAGAGTTTAGCATCTCTATAGAGTTTAGCATCTATATAGAGTTTAGCATCTATATAGAGTTTAGCATCTCTATATAGAGTTTAGCATCTCTATAGAGTTTAGCATCTCTATAGAGTTTAGCATCTATATAGAGTTTAGCATCTATATAGAGTTTAGCATCTCTATAGAGTTTAGCATCTATATAGAGTTTAGCATCTATATAGAGTTTAGCATCTCTCTATAGAGAGTTTAGCATCTCTATAGAGTTTAGCATCTCTATAGAGTTTAGCATCTATATAGAGTTTAGCATCTCTATAGAGTTTAGCATCTCTCTAGAGTTTAGCATCTCTATAGAGTTTAGCATCTCTCTATAGAGTTTAGCATCTCTCTATAGAGTTTAGCATCTCTATATAGAGTTTAGCATCTCTATATAGAGTTTAGCATCTCTATAGAGTTTAGCATCTCTCTATAGAGTTTAGCATCTCTATATAGAGTTTAGCATCTCTATATAGAGTTTAGCATCTCTATAGAGTTTAGCATCTCTCTATAGAGTTTAGCATCTCTATATAGAGTTTAGCATCTCTCTGTAGAGTTTAGCATCTCTATATAGAGTTTAGCATCTCTGTAGAGTTTAGCATCTCTATATAGAGTTTAGCATCTCTCTGTAGAGTTTAGCATCTCTATATAGAGTTTAGCATCTCTATAGAGAGTTTAGCATCTCTCTGTAGAGTTTAGCATCTCTCTATAGAGTTTAGCATCTCTCTATAGAGTTTAGCATCTCTATATAGAGTTTAGCATCTCTCTGTAGAGTTTAGCATCTCTATATAGAGTTTAGCATCTCTATAGAGTTTAGCATCTCTCTGTAGAGTTTAGCATCTCTATATAGAGTTTAGCATCTCTATAGAGTTTAGCATCTCTATATAGAGTTTAGCATCTCTATATAGTTTAGCATCTCTCTGTAGAGTTTAGCATCTCTATATAGAGTTTAGCATCTCTATATAGAGTTTAGCATCTCTATATAGTTTAGCATCTCTCTATAGAGTTTAGCATCTCTATAGAGTTTAGCATCTCTATATAGAGTTTAGCATCTCTATATAGAGTTTAGCATCTCTATAGAGTTTAGCATCTCTCTATAGAGTTTAGCATCTCTATATAGAGTTTAGCATCTCTATATAGAGTTTAGCATCTCTATAGAGTTTAGCATCTCTCTGTAGAGTTTAGCATCTCTATATAGAGTTTAGCATCTCTATAGAGTTTAGCATCTCTCTGTAGAGTTTAGCATCTCTATAGAGTTTAGCATCTCTATATAGAGTTTAGCATCTCTATAGAGTTTAGCATCTCTATATAGAGTTTAGCATCTCTATAGAGTTTAGCATCTCTCTGTAGAGTTTAGCATCTCTATAGAGTTTAGCATCTCTATAGAGTTTAGCATCTCTATATAGAGTTTAGCATCTCTATAGAGTTTAGCATCTCTATATAGAGTTTAGCATCTCTATATAGAGTTTAGCATCTCTATATAGAGTTTAGCATCTCTATATAGAGTTTAGCATCTCTATAGAGTTTAGCATCTCTCTATAGAGTTTAGCATCTCTATAGAGTTTAGCATCTCTATATAGAGTTTAGCATCTCTATAGAGTTTAGCATCTCTATAGAGTTTAGCATCTCTATATAGAGTTTAGCATCTCTATATAGAGTTTAGCATCTCTATAGAGTTTAGCATCTCTATAGAGTTTAGCATCTCTATATAGAGTTTAGCATCTCTATATAGAGTTTAGCATCTCTATAGAGTTTAGCATCTCTATATAGAGTTTAGCATCTCTATAGAGTTTAGCATCTCTCTATAGAGTTTAGCATCTCTATAGAGTTTAGCATCTCTATATAGAGTTTAGCATCTCTATATAGA